ACACTGCTGGCTCATGTTAAGCTTCTCATTCACCAGCACCCCAAAGTCCTTCTCTTCAGGGGTGCTTTCAATCCATTCTTCGCCCAGCCTGTATTTCTGCATGGGGTTGCCCTGACTCATGTGCAGGACCTTGCACTTGGCCTTGTTAAATTTCATGAGGTTCGCATTGGCCCACCTCTCAAGCCTGTCAAGGTCCCTCTGGATGGCATCCCTTCCCTCCAGTGTGTCCACCACACCACACAGCTTGGTGTCATTGGCAAACTTGCTGAGGGTGCACTCCATCACACTGTCCATGTTTCCCACAGAGATGTTAAACAACACTGGTTTTGTTAAGGTTTATCAGGGTGTGGAGAATTGTGCCAGTAGTCGGATCTGAAATTGCATTTATACCACTGTATTCACAACAGATAAGCAGAAATCTGCATTTTACCATGCTTAAGCTTTTTGAGAGGTTGCTTTTGGTAGAATATTAATTTTTTATTTTCTGCAGAAGACTTAGTAAGGCTGACCGGGCTTTTAAGTAGATGGATGAATGTCCCAAATTTTGCCATTGTGCAGACCTGTCAGTGTATCTCCTGGCTTAAATAACATATTTATAAACCATCCCAGTGATCCCTTAATATTTAGAAGAGGAGGTCCTCCTGCAAATCTGGGAAAACTTGTTTCCTAGAGTGGTAAATTTGAACTTTTGACATCTTGAAAATAAGTATGGTCCCTGTGGTCACTGTACTTCCTCTTTTATTAAAATTGTGCCTTTCTGGCAAGTCAGACATCAAAAGTAAGAAATCCTGGCATAATAGTTCTAAGCAATAGAAATTGCTAAGAATATTTGGGCAGCTGGAGCAGCAAGACTGTTTTACTTAAATTTGTCCAGGGGACTAGAAACAAAGCTCAACCTCAGCTGTCTGGCAGCCAGCACTCCAGGGTGGAACTCTTCCAGCTTGCTTCTGGAAGAAGTCATGTGCAGCTGAAAATGGCAGTTCTGTAGCTTGCATTCATTAATAAAAAAAAATTAGGTCTGTAGTAATCCTCACATGACACATCACCTTCTCTGTGGGGGCTTGCACAGCGGTGTTGCAGGATACACAAGCTGACTGCTCTCCAGTCACGCCATTCTCACTAGTGTCTGTGTGTTAATATGGGGCCTGCTTGGTCTCCTGCTACAAGGTGCTCTAGCTTCTCCTGTCTTGTAGGCAGAGTTAAGTTGCTATCTACAGCCACCTGAGGTCCACCTCTGCTGTTTTCTCCTCCACTGTTGCAATATATGAGCATTGGCAACATACCGTAACGCAGCGCAAAGGAAGCTTTTACCATATCCTTTGCATCCACTGTGCATCTGGAAAACTGCACTTCGAGCCATCTATTTGTGTGGCATGTTGCCAAGTCAGTCTGGTTAGGCTTGTCAAGGATACTAATGCCAAGCAGCAAGGAATCTGGGATAATAAATCCTGGCTGCGTAACACCAGATGCAATGTGTGGCCTTTATTGCAAGTTTATTCTGTTTTCATTTGCTTAACCTTTATGTTGGCACTTCAGCTCATGCCAAAAAAACACAGTCTCTGAACATGGAAGAACTCAAAATTCAATCACTTGGAAACGGACACCTGAATGAATTGTGATACAGTAAGCATGTCAGGAAAGAGAAACAAAACACTTGGATAATCAGTGTCTATTGGGAATGTCAGGTCTTCAAATGACTGAGTAATGAAGTGCCAGTAAATAACCACAGCGGGATTAGAGTGTGATATTAGTTACTTTGTTGGCATTTGGCCAAGCAATCTGCTCAAACTCACTACCCACAAAGTCCCCTAAGAAACTGTGTGTACTATGACAGATGTTGATTTCTAATACTTAAGTTTCTTTCATCCCTTCATCAGATTTTGTCTGGATTTTTAATATGAGTTGGTCTTGCTGAATAAATGGTTTGATGTTCCTCAGTTAGGAATCATCTGGAGGTGCCAAGAAGCAGGAATAAGGCTGCAGGAAACTGGATAAGTAGGTAGTAATTGGACTGTGCATGGAATGGTTTTGCTCTGCTCTTTTGTGTGTCCTCATATAAGGGTTGTGCTTTATTCTGGTCTTAAATTTTACTCACTTGGCTCTTGGACCAAGCCATGGCTACAGAATTGATCAGAGGGAAGAAGTATTTTGCACAGGCTTTAGTATCACTGAAAATTTAGTGAAATGTCCAATCACAAGGAAGAACATAGGCTGTTCTTTTTCAAGTTAATTCAGTTACTCTTTACCTAGTATTGGATGATGTGTGTACGTACAGTTCTAACAAGGTTTTTGAATTGATTTATTGTTTCTAGGCATATATTTCCCTGGTTCCTGACAGTGTATAGCTGCCTAATCAGGAGGAGAGGGAGAAGGAGGAGAAGGGGGAGTGCCTCTAAGGGAGATGCTGTTTGTGATCAGCTCTGCACATGTGCAGTTCCAGAGCAGTGTAGAAGCCTGAGCAATAAATACAAGAGGAAATACTTGCTGCTTTAGCATCTGAGATACATTTTAAAGCCAATGCAGTATCTTTTTCCCCCCAATCTTTGGGACTCTGTTTTAGGGAAGCTGACCCCCATAACTGAACGTGGTTTATTCTATGTTGAATGCAGCTGAACTGAAACTTGCATAAAGAATCAGAACGTGCAGCTACTTGAACAAAGGTCATTAATTTCACTGATTGGCCAGAATGTTTAATAAATGGAGATTACTTGTTTTCTTTCTGGACCTAAACCTTTCTTTGCTGCACAAATCACCAGAGACTTATTTTAAGTACACTAACTTGACTGTTTTTTCATGACTTACAAATTGACTCACATACAGCAAAAAGATGCTTTGGATCCAGGGGAGGGGGAAGGAATGAATATCTTCTGTAGCACATGAAGGCAAAGACTAACTTTATGTAAAATTATGAAAGGGAAATGAAAGCTATGCTTTCCTGCAACTTTTTCATGACTGTCTGGGCTAGGTTTGATAAACAACTTTTTAAAAGTCTTGCAACTGTTTTATAATTGATTGCTGTCTTGAATACCATTTAACTCTTCTCTCTTTCTCTTTTCATCAGAAAAATGAGTGGTGGATTGGCACCAAGCAAAAGCACGGTGTATGTGTCCAATTTACCCTTTGCTTTGACAAACAACGATCTATACAGGGTAAGTTTTTAAGAGCTGCATTGTGCAGATTAAACTTGTTGACAACAATTCTGAGTGTGAATACAATACTGATATATATCTCTTGCTTAGAAAAGTTTGTCTTGATAAATGTGTTACTAATGAAATGCAATTGTTAAATCTATTTATTTTGTTTTATATTTCAGATATTTTCAAAGTATGGCAAAGTTGTCAAGTAAGTGACCTGATATGGCCTGCTGGTTTTGTAGCTTTCATTTTAAATATTTAATGTTTTTGCTTCACTTGGAAGTCTTGTGCTTTCTATAATTTAAGTATGAATGTGGAACTGTATTGAAGTCCTGTTCATTTTTAATAAAGTATAAATTTTATTTAACAACTGGAAATTCTTGCAGTTACACACATAATGTAAGAATATTTGTGTTGGAGACGGGTTTTGCTAACCCCTTCTTAAGAGCAAGTAGAATGTTGTTATATACCAATGATGTTTTCTCTGAAATAATTTAAACATTATTCTTTTAATAAGCATTGTTCACCTTCCCCTGAACACCACCTGGGACACAAGTGGATTGGTGTAAAATTGGGAGCTTCTATTTACATGAACTAGATGTCACAATTGCCACAAACAGTTCCCACAATTGCAATGTACAATGCCTCTGTTTGTAGTTCTAGAGGGACTTGTTATTGTGACTGCTTAGTATTACATTTAAGATTAGACATAAGGCTCCATAGTAACAGCTTTTAACATGTGGGGTATTCATGAACAATACTTGTGAATACCTGCCTCTATGTTCAAATGATAGAAATAAATATCACAGTAAGGAACTTGCTCGTTTGTTTTGGTTCTTTATTTTTCTAACTGATGAGAATAACAAGACTCAAGACTTCTGTTTTCAACCCTACACCAGTAAATATCTACTCTAACTTCTAGTAGCTGCTGTAATAATCTGTGAGATACAGAGCTAAGTTCAAAGTTTTTGAAGTCTCAGGAGTAGGTTTCAGGTGACAAATAGCAGGAAAAGGCAAATTTACAACTTTAGAAAAACGTATTTTTTAAATTGACTGAGAGGGAAACCGTTATGTAGGGCTTTGGCAGACATGCAGTGACCAATACAACTGCGCACCTGCAGTCTCTGTTGTTTCCAGGGCGCGGTGTCTGTTTTAGTTGATTGCTGAACTACCTATTTAGAAAAATCATGAGCAAAGGTTGTAGTAACACTGGTGTTTAATATCCATTGAGAGGCCTTTTCTCCATAAATTTGACGCTTCTGACCTCCCTGATGTCATTTGGTAATGTACCTGTGCTCTGTGTTTGGGGGTTGAGGTCTCCTACTGTCTTGGCTTTTGAACTTGTTCAGTAGGAAGATAAGAATGGTATTGTCTGTATGATGCATTGCTTGTTTTAAAGATGTTGCAGTAGCATTCTCTCTCTTTTTTCCCTTTATTAATAGTTTCTGGTGTTTTATTTGCCTTTTTTTACTGTCATAGACAACAGAAATAGTATTTTCAGATGCCTATGCAGAAGAAATGCTGTACTGTGTGCTGTCTGAAAGGAGATAATTTAGAACTTGCAATTCTGTCTGCATAGTTACTGTTTTCCCCCACCTATATATTGTTTTGCAGAAAATTAGGTATCAGTAAGTGAATTTTTTCTGACATTTTTGTCTAGTCAGTGCCAGAACTTAAACTAAATGCAAAGAGTCATAGAATACTATGTGTAAAATACTACCATGATTTTTTTTTCTTTATATCTAGCAAAATTTGTTTCCTGTTCCACCCCTTTGCAAGCTGGCCTGACTGTAAACACTGCAGATACTGTGGAATTCTACTGGTATTTCCATTTTGCTGTGAAACTGAGGCTAAGAAGGATCAGTTTTCCTATTTATAACTAGTAATTAATTCCCGAGAAAAATCTTTTCAAATATTAGCTTGATTTCTGTAGAGTCTTTGTTCAGGGACTTTAAAACACTTTGCAGAAAGCTTTGCGATGTCATCTAGGTCAGCTTTAACTTAATTAAATAAGCTTTAATAGTAATTTTTTTAAGTGTGTCTTGACTCAGCAAAATCATGCTGACTTTTCTACTGTACTGCATTTCTCACTGCAATATATCCTGACTATTATTATTTCATCTGTTTGTTCAGTGAGAAATCAGACTTTCTAGGGCTCCAAGAAGTTGCTGACTTTTTAAAGATTTCATAGAATGGTTTGGGGTGGAAGGGACCTTCAAGATTGAGTCCCGCCCCCCCCTGCCATGGGCAGGGACACCCTCCACTAGACCAGGTTGCTCAAAGCCTCATCCAGCCTGGCCTTGAACACCTCCAGGGATGGAACATCCACAGCTTCTTTGGGCAACCTGTTCCAGTGCCTAATTTCATCCTAATATCTAATGTAAATCTACCCTCTTTCAGTTTCAAGCCATTACCCCTTGCTCTATCACTACATGCCCATGTAAAAAGTCCCTCTCCATCTTTTTGTAGGCCCCCTTCATGTACTGGAAGGCTGCACTCAGGACTCCTTGGAGCCTTCTCTTCTGCAGGCTCACTCTCGCAGCCTGTCTTTGACATACTTGTCTCTGTCTATGCTTGTGTTATTAACTGGTACATTCAATATCTCAATTAGAAACTTTACAGTCATATTATAGTTTTGCTGGAACTCTTGGAAAAGTAACTTGGAAAAAGAATTAATAGAATTGTTCTTAAGTCTTATTGACACTTGAATTCAATGCATTCAATTGGACACATCCTTGTCCAAGAGGCTTTGGTAGAAAAACTGTGCTAAGCTCCATCTTTCTATGCATATATTTGGGGGAAAATTGAGCTTTCTTTACTGAGCTTTTATTATATACACTTTTTACTGTGCAGGTCATCTGTTACTTATACAGGTTCCTTGGTAGGTCTTCTGCATTGAAGCAGAGTTTGTCTGGATGGTTTTGTTTTGTTTTTTTTTTTAATGTCTGTCCTGGGTTAAGCAGAGTGTTAATTTTTTTTTCTCTTCTTCGTAAATAGCTAGCAAGAGGCTGTGTTTTGGTTTTATGCTCAGTAGAAGAGCTGATAAGAATGATGTTTTGTTCTGCTGCCAAGGACAGCAGACCAGGGAAGAAGGACAGCCAGTTGCTAGCATAGGATTTGCTTTTAGGTTAAGATTGAGAACCAGACTGACCAATGATTTATTCCATAACATACACGTCATACCCAGTATATAGGTGAGGACCCTTCCAGGAGAGCTCTCTCTTTTGCTTCCCTTGGGCTTCAGATCATCTCGCTTCAGGTGTCTGCATTCACTCTCCCAAGGCCTCTTCCCCCACCCCCCCACACACACACTCTGGCCAGCTCTCAGTCTGGGATGCTCGGATCGTTATCTCCGTTCCGTGAGTTTTGGGATCCTCCCTCTCCGGGGGGGATCGTTAGCTGGGGCCAGGTGGTCGTTTTCCCCCCACTCTGGTCAGCTCTTGGTCTGGGACGCTGGGGCTGTTGTCTCCATTCCGTGAGTGCCTCCAGGAGTGGTGCACCACTTCCCCCCCTCCCCGGCCCCGTTTGGGGTGATCATGAGTGTAGTTCTGGGGATCGTTAGCTGGCAACAGGCTGAGCCTTTGGTCATCGGGTGGGGGGGGCAGTATCACTGTGTATCACTCATTTGTATATTTGTGTATAGTATTATTTTTAATATTATTGTAGTTTAGTTATTAAATTGTCCTTATCTCAACCCACGAGTCCTCTTTACCATTTAACCCTTTTATTCTCTCCCCTAATATTGGGTGGGGGCGGGAACTGTGTGAGCGGGTGTGTGTGGTTTAGCCCCCAGCCAAGGGCTAACCCACCACAATGTCCTATCACTTCTCTAAGTTTTGGCTTACTTTATGGCTGAACCTTGTTCTGTCTATGGTAGACACAGGGAGGAGTTTATTCCCTAGTTTTTAAGGTGTACTTTTTTTTTTTTCATGTACATGCAAACTGGCATCCTGTTTCCACTGGTTTTTGGGGGTTTTTTAGGTCTAAATACACTTGATGTTAAGGTTGAAAGAACTGAGGTTGTGTGGGGTTCCTCTCCTTCCCCCTTCAACTCTTGGCATTCTTTTTCTTTGTCTGTTGTTTTTTCTGGGTCTAAATCTTTCTTGAATTTCTCAATGTGCTACTGGAGCTGTTAGACTGAAGATTTAACTTTGTATGTCATGTGCTTGGATTACAGTTGGAGATACTTGTAGAACAGTACTCCATACACTTAATGTTTCCTATCTTGAGCCTGTTTAGCTGGTTAGTCCTACATGAACATAGATTTCTCGGTTTGGATGCACTTCAGTACACAGTGTTTTTCAGCAATTTCACTTCCAGTGTGTGTAGTTTCCTGCAGTTACATCGTCTGCAAATTTAGAGACTATGTTCTCTGTTCTTCAAGTCATCCAAGGGAATAAAGAATTATACTGGACCCAGAAAGACCCCACATGTTTTTTTTTTAAATCATCTCTGCTCTACCTGTAAGCACGTAACCAGGTTAGCTGTTCTTTTGAATTTCTATTTAGTGAACCTGTTAAATACACTTTTTCCTTTTTGCTATATAACAAAGGTAAGATCCCACTGAGATCTTTAAAGAAAAAATGTCTCTGAAGTAATTTTAGTGTATCATTAATGTGGTTATACATTTTCAGAGTTACTATTATGAAGGACAAAGACACCAGGAAGAGCAAAGGAGTTGCCTTTATTTTGTTTTTGGATAAAGAATCTGCACAAAACTGTTCTCGGGCACTTAATAACAAACAGGTAAACTGTGGAAAATGGTTATGGCAAGAGAGCTGGATTTACAGTCCCAAAATATTTACCTTTTTTTTCCCAATTTGCTGTAGTTGTTTGGAAGAGTAATAAAAGCAAGTATTGCCATTGATAATGGAAGAGCAGCAGAATTCATTCGCAGACGTAACTACTTTGATAAGTCCAAGTGCTATGAATGTGGGGTGAGTAAAACCAAAAATGAATGAATATATTCCATCTTTTGACCCTTAGCTTCTTTCTTCATTTTGGCCATTGCTCTTCTTGCCTGTGCTGTTAATATCAACAGAAAAAAAAAATAATTTATCAACCTGCGTAGAAGGTGTACCATTTTCAAGAATGATAGTACCCCTTCTGTCTTTTATTTGGGCTGGAGGAAAATATGTACGTATAGTTGCTGCTTAACAACATATGTGTGTATCAATGTAATGTTGTTACTAGGAAAACCTGCTAGTCTTTGCTTCAAAATAAATGCTTTTGCTATATCTTTGGAAGTTCATTATATAGTTGGTAGTAAAATAAATATTAGAACTGTTTTTAAACAGAAGTGCGTTTTAAGTTTTAGGGAATTCCTCACTTTTCCTGAACATAATCACATAGGAGATTGAGATTTGGATAATATCTTCTGTCAAATACAAACTTGATTTATACCCATAACACTTTTTAGAGCAAAAATGTTAACACCTGTTTCTTAAATTTTTGATGCTGAGGTTGATGTCTTCTCGTGAACATAAACTGTGCTGTAGTGTATTCAGCTGCTGCAGCAGCCAAAGAAAATCTACATTGCTCATAGCTTGTTCTCAGTTTGCAGTTAAACATGTATATCACCACCAATCTCTTTGTTTCCATGGCAAGCTTATAGAGAAGAGTTTGTCGTCTGTGTGCTAATTCAGCATTCCATTTATCTTACTAATTGCTTCAATTTTTTTCCCCATGAACTGCCTTACATTAACTTTTCCTTGTATGTTTCAACATATAGTTGTTTGTAATGGTTTCTGTTAAGCAGTATTTCTTTTCTCCAAGGAAGCAGGACACTTAAGTTATGCTTGTCCTAAAAATATGCTAGGAGAGCGGGAGCCACCAAAAAAAAAAGAAAAGAAGAAGAGAAAGAAAATAGTTGAGCCAGAAGAAATGTATGTATATTTCTTTACATGTTAATACTTCTTTTAGACAGCTTTTTCATACTGAACACTTAAATATCTATGTGTTTGTCTCTCTGCACTATGAAGTGAGGAGGAAGAAGAAAGTGAAGAGGAAGGAGAAGACCCTGCTCTAGATAGCCTCAGCCAAGCCATAGCTTTTCAGGTACAAAATTGAAGCATTGCATATTTATTATTTATTATTACTTAAATGCAACTCTGTTTCCCTTTTTCAGCTGCTTTTTAAAAGCTCTGAGGTACACCTGTAAGTCTGCTCTGTAGCATTTGGGGCACTCTTGCCTGACAGTAGTTGGTGACTACAGATGGTTTCTCCATATTGCAGGAATGTTCAGTAATTTCTTGGTTTTGGGGGGTTTTTGGTTTGGTTTGGTTTTTTTACTGTTTCACTATTGCTGTGTTTGTGCATTGCAATTCTTTCCTTCAAGGTCCTTTTGTTGATTAATTTCTTGTCATCTCTGCTGTCGTGCTCTGTTAGGTTTCTGGTTGACAAATCCCTCTTTACTCTGTTAACTGAGCAGCCCAAAAAACAGTCATGTATAAATGACCAGGTCTGGCCACACTCACTAGAATATCCTTGAACAATATCTATTTCTGGAGCACTTCCTTTGCCTAATACAGTCCATTGTGATCTCTAATAGACCTCTTCTCTCAAAATACATTTAATGCATTTTTTTGTTATGTAGATAGTCTGACAGCTGTATTACTGTCTTCTTTAGTACTTCCTTACAGGCTTTTGCTTCACTACACACAGCAAGCCTGACCTACTGTTCAAATTTCATGGCTTCCTAGTCCTCAGCTGTCCCCTGTGTGCCCCTGTTGCCCCCCCAAAAAAACCTTGGAGTTTCTAAAATAGCTTTGTCTTGAATATGACTGCAATGAGTGCTCAACTTTTACATTATGTAGTCTGAAAAAATGATTGCAAATACGCAGTTATCCCCCACGCACACCTCCAGAGAACTCTGCGATTGGAAGTAAAACCTATAAATGTAAACAAGCCAGGAAACATTCCCATTTCTCTCACCATCCAAAGATTTTAACTGGGATAGCATGTTTCCCAGTAAAAATAGGAAGCATCTATTCAAACCTTCAGTTGAATAACCTTTACAGCCCTCAAAACATTCATTTCCTGAATGAATGACTGCAAAACACAACAGATAGACTTGTTAGTGGAACAAGGCTGATTCAATCATGTCAATTCAAAACACGATGCATTCTTTGCTTCAGATCTAAGCTGTTCTCTAGCTCTGTAATTTTGCCAGGTGCAAAGTTCCTCACTTTGAAAATAGAGGGTGCTCCATGTGGCCTTCATGGGTGCAGAAGTCTTACTGTGTGCATGTAGGAACTACTTTCAGAAATGTTTTCTAGTGCATTCATCACACAGTTTATCTGGAAATAGAGATAAACCTTCTGAATTAACTTATTTAATAATGCGTATTAATAATTAGCATTATTATTTGTGGTGCATCTTAATTTTTCTTGATCCTAACTAATACTTTTCCTTTTTTCATTGTAGCAAGCCAAAGTTGAGGAAGAGCAACAAAGATGGACGCAGACCACAGGGGAATCTTCAATTTCAGATGATTCAAAACGTCCACGGATTAAGAAAAGTGCTTATTTCAGTGATGAGGAAGAACTTAGTGATTGAAATAATACTGTTTTAAATGCATGTATAATATATAGTGTACATTTTGTAAAGTGCCACAAAGTTATCAGTAATACAGGTTTGTCTTGGTGTTGAATACACAGAAAATCATGTTGTAATTCTATCCTGCCCCTCAAACCTCCCATTTTTTTGATATCTCTCTCTCACAAAACTTCTCCCTTCAAGGCAGCTTCTTAAGAAAACAATGTGTTTCTACACTTAAATACAGAAAAATATTTGGGAGAATGCTTCTTAGTATCTATACACTGGCAGTAAAATCTTTCATAAGAGATCTTCCTAAGTTTTTTTTTTCCAAAGAGTAGTTCCTCTTAGGGTCACTGTTAGCACCACTGATGCTTTATGTATTAGTCTGTTTATTGCCTGTTTGGAAGCAGTGCTTTAGTAGTACTTCAGTAGAATATGAATCTTGCACTAGTTCCTCTGCGTAGGGTTTAATTTCAACCTTAAGAATTGTACTAATCTTTTAACTCTTCATACAGTAATACAATAAATTTCTAAGGTAATACAATAAATTTCTAAGTCACATGAACTTGGTCTGTGAAATCATTCTAGACTAACCAATACATCCATCTGTTCTCCAAAAGGATATTAAGATGTTGATCTTCTGTCTTATGCACAATTTTAGTAACTTGCTGTACACTTCATAATATTATATAGCCTATATACAATGTAGGCTTCATAGGAGATGCAAGTTAAAAGTTACATGGTGATTAGTTCAGTCTTGAAGTCTTCATACTTAATAATTTTTAAGAGTGATAGTTCTGTTGCCTCTTGCATTAAAATTGAGAATGGCCGTATGTTTTTAAAATGGGAATGTGCATATGTTTTAATACGCTCTAACCTGATATTGAAAGTCTCTTGCTCTGATAAGGGCTTATATTGCGTCGTTTCTCCTTACTGCAGTTTGGGTGCCTAACATGGTTAATTATGGTTATGCACAGGTTTTAAATATACTTGTGTGTAATATGGATCGCAGACCTATCTTCTCAGGCATCTGAACCTGCTGCCAAAATCCAGAGGGCACAGAGCTTCTTATGTGCTTAAAAATCAGCTTTGATGTATGCTTGGAACTGTCATGGTCTCTAAGCAAAGTGTGTTTGCACTTATTTTGCACCTAAAGCTGTTCAGATCTTTTAAATAGTCTCCATCCTTACATCTTTGTAGGGTTCTAGTCATGTTCTCCTAAAAAGCCTCATAGACACATTAGGAGAACAGTACAAAGCCCTGCAGCAGTGATCACTCCCAAAACCACAGACACATGGCAAGGGTGGTGACAATATAGTCCATTTTGTGTAGTCAAACTTTTCGTTTTTAGGAGGCACAATAAAAAACACTTTCACACTTGGAAGAGACCAGCTGGCCTGTGTTTCTATTTTTAGCTCTTCCTGTTGCTCATCAGGACTTGGTTTTCTTCCAAATATAGAAAATGTAAATCCAAATATATTGTTATGTGTTCTTAATTAATACCAATTTGCATTCAAATTATAACTAGGTGCAAAGAAAGAACCACACCCACACCCTCTCTAAGCTTATATAAAGCAGTCACATTCAGAAGGTCATTCTGGGATCTTCTGTTGCTACTTTCATAAGAATTCAGAAAAAAGAATAAGGTAATAAAGCGTTCAAACTACTCAAGCCACACATTGGGGAGAAATATTGGACTTTATACATAGAAAGGTCTTGGACTCAGTAATCCAAAGAATGCTTTTAATACTTACTTTGTGACTTTGTGTTGAAAGCGGCATATATTCAGGCTAGTTAAATCTGAAGTTTCCTTGACTGAGTTTTGGAAAGATCACTTGATACTGAATAGCTGAGTGCTGAAGTGCCAGGTGTAACTTAGTGTTAATAAATGCAAATCACTGTACATCATGTGTGTAATAACAAAGACCGAGGAGTTCTAAACTCTGCTAAGGAAGAAAATCTTGCTGCCAGCATGCTTCTCTGCAAAAGCTAGGTTGGGGCTTAATGGTGATGGGAAAAAAAAAAAAAAAAAAAAAGCAAAACAAGCAAAAAATGTTATACTACTTCATAAAATCAGGGTTTGTCATCTCCAATACCATGTTCAATGCTGTTTTTAAAAAAAAGATTGAAAACTAAAATGTGACAAGGAACCAGTTTGACCTTGTCCATGATTTTGATTTGGGAATGTTTGATAGCTTGTAAGAATTAAGATTTCAATGAAGTAATCAGGCAGCAAGTTTCAAATTTCTATTTCATTACACTGTGTAATGTAGTAGTGGAACTCATGGCTTTGAGGCTTTTTTCAGGTTCATAGCATCAAAAGGATAAGACTTAATATGTGGAACATGATAGTTATTAAAAAATGTTAGCTTAAATAGTGTCCACTCAGAAATATCCTAAATTACTGACTATTGTCAGCTGTAAAATTCACAGTCTAGGAGTGTTTTATTCTTACACACTTTTCTGTTTCATATTTGCTACTGGTGTCAGAAAGAATAAAAACAAAACTGACCTTTGTTCTGACCTAATATAGTACTCTTTCAACAGTTCCAGTAGCTGAAGCGTGTTGATATATCTTTCTACTCTGCTGCTTCTGCCTCACTGCTTTCCCCATAGGATTTGCTTTTGTCAGCATCAAGCAGTATCTTAGTCCAGACTATTACAACTGACCCAGTGGTGTTCCTCTATGCTCTTTTGTTCTAAACATAAAGTCACTTGAGGCAGGTGATATTGCAAAAGAAACAGATAAAAATGAGCCTGGGTTTGTCAGAATGGGCATCTACAATTCCTTACCTTAAATCATCTAACAGTTTTCTTAACTCTGAACTTGTATTGATTAGCAGTGCTTATAGTTTTTGGCTTAGAGTCAGGGTAAAGAAGAAAGCACCTAGTGCCTGAAACAGGACCTAAAGGGACTTTGAAGGAGTAGGATTTTTGCACTTTAGTGCAAATAATATTCAGATTCTATTCTTTGTTGGCAAGATAAAGAAGCATTTCTAAGTGAAAACTTCAGAACACTAGCATTAGGTAACTATTAAATTAGACTGAGTATCTGTTCCGCTTGCTTAAATCCAAAATTGTTGTCTGCAGCAACCCCTGATGCAGCTGCTTCCTTCTGGAAAAAAGGCCAAAACTTGTCAGCTAAGTCCCTTTCTGACCTTTGAACACCAAGGGATTTGCTCCTGTTCATGCCCAGCCTCACCTACTCCAAGCAGCATGGCTTCAGGCTTCCCTCTTGAGTCTGATCAGTGTGCTAAGGTGGAGTGTTAACTGGGCTCCTAGTTTAGATCAGGCCAATAGGGTGCAATTCATTTTCAAAATGTGAGACAGCGTGGTGCTTTTGTCAGAGTTTGGTATCTTAAAGCGCCAGCTCAGGAAGCAGAAAACAGCTTTGGTGGCTGCCTGGCTCTGGGCCAGACAGGTGAGGCAATGTGGCCACGTTATCAAAAGAGAGGAGAATAAAAAACACCTTGTAGAACAGCTTCCTGTTATTGTTAGAAAAACCAGAGGCTTGTGGGTGGGGGATTTTGTGTTGGTTTGGGGGGTTTTTTAGCACTTTGAGGACCTAGCTTAGGCTAGTAAGCTGAATGCTGGTTTTAGAGTATATATAATGTGGCTCTGATTATAGAGAAAATGACATTAGGTGCAGACAGATTTTCTTTTAAATAATGTCAAAAACCTGGATCCTTCTGCAGACATCCTCTTACTAGGTTTTGTCTTTTGTGTTTTCAAAAGAGCTTGAAAATTGCCAAAATAACGCTTCCTGGGTCATGGGACCTCTTGTCTAGTGAAATGTCTAACCAAGTAGTGTCTCAAAGGCCACTAGAAGATGACTTTTATCTGTCCTTGGGGAAGAACAGGCTATGGAAGGGGGATAAGGATGACTAGCTTAACTGATTATAAATTGTATTACTCATACTGTGCCTGTGCAGCACGTGTTAAACCATTGCAGCTTTGAGACACTGGAGTAATTTTAGTCCATGTTTAGCAGGCTCCCACTATGTTCTTGACATATTCAGGTTACTGCTCTCAGCAGAGCAATAGAAGGGGCTGTAAATATAACGAACTATGTGTGGCTAAATAGGTGTTGTCTGGAACAAATTGTAAACACTTTATCTTTGGCTTCTGGGTCACTGTGTTCTCTGGGATAGCCCTGTTTTAATCTGCAGAGAAGATTTACTGTAGCATGGGAAGGTGAGCTCTGCGTGCTGTTTGGTTGTAGTCTTCTGAGGCACAAAATATAGAACTTCTTACAAAAGCTAGATCTAAAACATTATATTTAAAAATGGGATTTATTAAGTGCTACTATGAACATTTAGAAGTAACTAGTATAGTTCATTTCCGCTTTTGATTCTGTTGGACATCTGCAGTGTTGGCATGGAAATATATACCATCACAATTGCACCATTGCTCTTCTATAAAAATATTTCAAATAACACTCTTCTAGATGCGTTATCTTAAAATAACTGGTATTGGATGGCTGATTGCTTCTTTTTAAGATAGATTACAAAAGTGGTTTTAGGTGTCCTTAAAACGTTCATACTGAACAGGTTTGTTTATCTTACCCATCTTAACAGGGTGAGTTTTTTCTGTAGCTGTTGACAGCAATATTAAAAATTACTATGGTCTTCCTGCTTCAGAGAAAAAGCTGTCAAGCGAAGGGTGTAGTCACTCTCAAGGTGGATTACCCTGTTTCTCGTCTCCATCGTGGTATCTGTAAAAAGTAGCCAAGAAGGGATAATCTGAGGAGATTCTGTATGTAAAATCATGCACTATTTTTTAAGTTGAAGAATTGTACAGGTTTGTGAAATAGCGTTTTGTCAGTGCCAGGCTAACCCTGACCCTGCTGTGCATTCAGATAGATGATATGTGTGCTTATACAAGTATTTAACGGATATGATAAGCAACAGAGCAAGTAAAGAGGTACAGAAATAGTGTCAGTATAATGTGATAAAAGCGTGTGCAAAAAATCTAACCAACCCAGTGAGGCAATGTGGATCACAGTGGCTTGAAGAAAT